TATATATATATATATATATATATATATATATATATATATATATGTGTGTGTGTGTGTGTGTGTGTGTGTGTGTGTGTGTGTGACCATTGTGATAGGTAACGCGGTTCTGCCGTATTATCATGGTCTCACGACCGTCGTGAAAAGCATTAGACATACAATCACACCTTACCTCACAATAGTTGGTCAGACATTGTGGTATCTATTTTTCAATCGTTGTGATAATGACTTTTCCATAGTAATGAATGCTATTTTTTTATTAATGGTGTGAAAATGTTCAAGTTGTTTTATGTTTATTTTCTTTTAGTAGCTTAGATCTAATCATTATCCTAGTAAAATCTATCAAAAGCCATATTGAAACATCTCTTTCTTAAATTGTCAACGGTAGCCAAAAATTTATTAACAAATTTCTAAATTATTAAATTTTTGGAGGAATGAATCATATTAATGTTTTAAAATTCAGACCGGTGATTGACTCGGTAAAGTTACTGGGTCATTGGGTTACTAGTCGGACCAGTGAGTCACTGGTCAGACCGCATGGCTTTTGACCCGGTTTCTATAAAAAATATATTCATTACCTGAAATTTGTAACTATAATAATATAAAAATTATAAATTCAAATAATTTAGAATAAACAAAAGTATTAGTAACAATCAAAATAAGTGATAGAAACTTAATGTAGCAAATTATAAATTCAAAGAAGTGATAGAAACTTAACAATTCATAAGTTATAGTATTATTAATAAGTCACAAAAATTCATACTCAACGATCCATAATTTTTTATGTCCATGAAGTCAAATTGTCATAATCTTGATATTCATATCCATCTTCAACTTCATTGTCTTCTCCACCAACTTCATCTTCTCTGGTGTTGCTTTTTTCTTGATTCACATTATCAACAATAGTATCTTGTGCATTACTCATATCTCCATCTTCATCCTCATCTAAATCTATTTGATCTATAATAATATTTTAAAAAATAATTAACAAAAAAATTTAGAGATGGTAAATATGAGACATTAAATTGATTCACAACCATAAACTATATTATGCTCATATTAGAACATACCAATATCACTTGAAATTGGTTGGATGGTCATATTTTCAAAGTCATTCCGCAATGCTTCCAACTCTTCATTGGTTAAGAGAGGTGATGAATCCTCTAATACCCAACTAGAATGGTCGGCAATTGTTTCAATATTGATAGGATCATAACTCTCATTTCTTATTTTCCTAAGCACACATGAATTAAATCTAAGTATATGTATTTAAATATAAAAATATAATGATCAGAGAAAAATAACCATAATAATACCTATTTTGAACTCTCAAGTTGTAACGAACAAACACTAAATCATTAAGCTTTTGGTGCTACAATCTATTTCTTTTTTGGAATGAATATGCTCAAATATACTCAAATTGCGTTCACAACCCGAAGCACTACAAGTTTGGCTTAAAATACGAATAGCTAACCTTTGCAAAGTTGGTGTACAAGTGCCATAAGTTTCCCACTATTGATCTATTTATACCATGTGATTAAATAAATTTATAAACATATTGAAATACAAAATAAAATATATATCAAGAGTTAGAAGTTATGAAATTACCTGCCCTCACAATACATCGTTCATCCACGGCTAATTTCCTTCCAAAATCTAATTCATCGTCTTTGAATATTCTCATCTCATCTGTTAACTTTAATTGAAGTTCAGAATTTCCATTAGCATGCTTTTCAATGACATCTAAAAGTCCTGATGTTGTGGATGCATGTTTTTCAAATTCTACATCATTATATCTACAAGCTGGATTCAACCAATAACCGGCAGCATGAAGATTTTTGCGGAGCTGTGAATCCTAACGTTTATCTAAGATTTTCAAGTAAGGATCCACTTTCTTCTTATTTCTTTGAAACCTCCTCACCATCTCCTCTCTAGCTTTGACTATAGATTTGTATAGAATACCCATAGCAGGTTTATCTTCACTATCAACAATACGCAACACACGCACAAGTGGTTCAATGAGTTTAACTATATCATCACATTTACTCCAAAATCCAGAATCTAAAACTTGATCCACAAACTGTTTTACCTTTGCTTCTTTGGCATATGCTGAGCTTGTCCATTCTTTAGATGTTACCATGGCTCTTAGTTTGTTTTTGTGAGACAAAATACTTTGCAAAGCAATGAAATTAGTGGCAAACCGAGTTGGAGCAGGACGAAGGATTTCTCTTCCACATGTTTGCTTTCTCATTAAATACAATGCATAACAATGATTATAAATATATTTGGTAACATTACAAGCATGTGACACTGTCTCACTTACTTCCTCTAATTTTCCCATGTCTTGCAATATCAAGTTAATGCAATGTGCCGCACAAGGAGACCAAAATAAAGTAGGAAACTCATTTTCTAATAACCTTCCAGCAATAACATAATTTGCAGCATTATCTATCACTATGCGAACTACATTTTCAGGCCCAACAAATAAAACCACCTCTCTAAAAAGCTTATACAACATATCTGCAGTTTTTGAAGCATGAGAAGCATCAACGGATTTTAGAAAAATAGTACCTTTGGGACAATAAACTAGAAAGTTTATAAGAGTTCTTCTTTTTCGATCAGTCCATCTATCGGCCATTAGAGTACAACCAGTTTTCTTCCAAATCTCACGATACTCCTCTATCAATTTGTTCACATCTTCAACCCATTTATTTAACAAATAGCCACGAAGACTATGCATAGTTGGAACTTTATACCTCGGACTCATGCAACAAAGTGCATCAGTCATAGATTGAAAATACGCAGAATTAGCTGCATTGAATGGCACAGAAGAATCAATGGACCATCTTTCAATAGCTAGATCACACTTCTCCACCAATTCCTTACTTTGTAACACACTTTTTAAAGAAGGTTGAGCTCCAGGAGTTGTTCTAGGCATAAAATAATTACCAATACGACTAGTATTTTTTCTCTTTTGAGACACAATCACCGAATTTGATCTTGATTGTTCTACATCAATTTCTACTACACCACCCTCTTGAGTAGTAAGATCAACATCAAAATTTTGTGCTTGAGTCTTTCTTCTCTTATTTGCGCCTTCATCAAGATTTTGTTTCATTTGATATTGAACATCTGGAGGCACCTTTTTACATGTTTCAACTTGACCTTTTATTCCAGCCAAAAGGAATTTGAACCTATTAATCCCCCTCCTCTAATAATTTTATCACAGTAAATACACAAATTAACAAGTTTTCCTTTCTCTTCAATTTCTTTACAATGATCCCAAGTTATATCAGTTTTCCCCTACTGCTCTGGAGTTGGGTTGGATTTTGAGATGTAACTTTTTTCGAAGTTATTACTTCAGCGGGTGATGTCATATCTAATATCAATCAAAATTTAAAAATACAAAACTATATTACAAAAATATTAACAAAACACAATTCTAAACAAAAATTATTGAATTTATAAAAACATTATAAGAAACATTAAATATGTAGCATATCTAAATCCAAAATATATGAATATGTTGTTGCATATTACATATAGGCTACCAAGCATCGTTACTGTGCATCACCATATATAATAAAAAAATAGGAACTTTGCTTTCCAGCCTTTGCTATATATTTTAGATTAATAAAATCCTGAAACTTTTCTTTGTTATATAATTTAAATTAATAAAAAACAGAAAACTTTGTCTTACTATATAATTTAGATTACATAGTTTTAAACTCAATTTCTATCTCCATAATATATACAGCGACTATTACAGTAATATATATATCTATCTCAATTTATATCTCCAATATACAACAACTTCATTATCAGTCTATAATAAGTTAATTCATAAAAGTATAAAACTGCTTCATTCATACAAATTTTATCTCAATTTGTTAAACTAAAAGACTCAATTTTATAGAAAATGATCAAATTTAATCATTTATTTTCTATATCAATTAATCAAAAAAATGAAACAATAATATTCATATTGAAAAACATCAATGCAAATTAGACCAAGTAAAAAAGAAATAACTTGTTTTTGATGTTTTGATGGAATTTTTGACGACAAACAAGGAATATCAAATAACAGCAGCAAGTGAGAGTTTTTGTTGGTAGAGAAAATTGAGAATATGACTTCAATTAGAAAAAAAAAGACAGAATAAAAAAGAAAACCTTTCAAATGCCTAGGTTTGGGAAACGAGGAGGCAAAGCGTTTATGTTAATGTTTTTTTTTCAAAACCCTAAAAAATAAAATAAATAGTCAAACCCGCCGGTTCAGTAAAAATCGTTGGTTCACTGGTTTAACCAGTGATCTGTCCGGTTCACACTGGTTTCATCCGGTCTAAATATAATTTCGTTCTTATCCCTTAATCAGACCGTCTGGCCCACTAGTTCTCGGTCCGACCGGCCGGATCGGGCTGGGTTTTAAAACACTGAAGCATATTATTCCAAATTTTATTACCTTGTCCAATAACTTGATTAGGAGTATCATTTGGAGCATAAACATATTTCAAATAGATATCTTTAGATATATAAGATTTTAAGTTAACTGTTTTTTTTCCATCTGTAAGAGGAATAATACATTTCTTAATTCTATAAAGTGAGCCAGTTTTGAAGTGATTATCCAATCACATAAATACATCATCTATCATATAAAAATTTTAATAGTTCTGGAAAAGGTCAAAAAATATCTCTCTCTCTCTATATATATATATATATATATATATATATATATATATATATATATATATATATATATATATATATATATATATATATATATATATATATATATATATATATATATATTTCCCTCACTATGCAATAACTTCCTTCTTTCTCTTCTTCTTCCCTCTTTCTCATCTTCTTTCTTTTGGACGGTTCGAAGGTGACGACGGTTTAAGAAGCTGGTTTTCGAGTGGCGATGACAAACTGATGGCCAAATTATTCCAAGGGGGTGGTTTTTCTTCAGAGTGTTTGGTGATTTTGGTGTTACGTGGATCTGGATGATCAATCAAGGATCTGAAGTAATAATAGGTAATAATAAGTTTCTTACAAGATTTCAATTTTGTTTACATTTGCCTATTTTCATATTATGAAACCATAATATTTTAATTTTTATTGTTGGCTTAGATCTACAAAATAGTGTTATTGATATGTATGTTAAGGTTGGTTCTATTGACAAAACTATGTTTGGTCAGAAGATTGAAGTCAATTTAATATCATGAAATATTGTCATATATGGTTGTTCTCCAAGTTGTTTTGAGGAGTATTTCTTAATGTTGTTTGTTGATTTATTAAATTATGGACTGTTGTCTTTTGTCGGATCAATTAACCTTTGCAAGTGTGAAATTCTAGGTTCTGCTCGTCTCTTGAAGAAAACTATTGTCCTTGTGTAAAAGTAGTATTTTTGTTAATTATTTGAAAGTTACCGAATGAATGAATAAGAATAATAATTTTTAATATTATTTTTTGTAATTATTTGAATGGTAGTCAATGAGGCTTTCATTGCAAATTCATATTTTAGTTTTATCAGTGTAGAATAGTGTGAATTAAATGGTTTGAATGGAATTGAATTGTATTTTTTGTGTTAAATTGAATGGTTTCAATTATATTGGCTTTTTTACAGATTCAAAGAAAGTTGTAATTAATTGATATCTGCTTGATTGTTCTCTTAAACTATAAGTAGTTTATATTTCATGAATTATTACTTACTTCCTTCTACAATACAAATGTGCATATTGAGAAGCACAAACTTCTTGAAATGAGGCGTGTTGCTGCATACATCTATAAGAAAGCAGGAAGATGGAAATAATCCATTGCTTTGCCATCGAAAGAAACTTTCTGTTTTTCGTTTCTATAACAGTTAAATCATATCCTTTTATGTTTTATTTTTTATAATACCAAATCTGCATAATTAAACTGTGTAGTTTTTGAATGGTCAGTTATGTCACGGAAAAGTTGTTGATTCGGAGAAAGATCTCTTGGAGGAGCTGATAGTGGTGGTAGCTAAGCCAAAATATAGGTCTATTTGTACATGGTCTTAACATGTAAATAGTAATGTATTTTTTGAACTGTGTGGCTTTGGATTATGTTTTAGGACTGTTTTGTAGTGATTAATAGGTCTGTTTTTGAACTCTATACGGATATTACATGTACCATATCTAGTTTTTGAATCATGATAGTTTGATACAATTGTTTGATGCTTGCTTGTGATGATGGTGAATCATGATGGTTTGACACAATTGTTTCATGCATATAGTAGGTGGTTTATGGCAGCAAAAGCTTGGCGTTCGGCAGGTTCAAAGCTACAAGAAATTGGCATGTTGGAGAGAAAGCTCAGAGCTTAATGCTTATGGTCGTGCTCAAGAAGAGGTGCATAAGGTATTTTTGTCATTAATGTCTCTCTCTTGTGCCATTGATCTTAAAACTTGAATTAATAAGAAATGTAACTCAATATTCAGAAAGATCAGGTGTATGTTGAAATATTAAATTAGATTTGTTGAAATATTATATTAGATTAGATTTGATTAGATTTAATATTTAAATATAATCTAAGTTGTGTTAACTCAAACTCAATTAGGGTTATATATAAATAATCATAGTGTGTATCATTATTTGTACAATTCAATAATACAAATCCTTATTTCCTTTATTATTCTCTCTTTTTCTCCTCACTAAAAGTGCCTTAGGCACTAAGAAATTGATACCAGAGCTTCCGATTATTGTTCTTGATCGAGTTTTCAAGAATTTTACGTCAGAGATCGTGTTTCTAAGGCAACTGAATCAACCGCTGTGAAGATGGTTAGTAATAAGGGAATTCCAAATTCTCTTCCAATGCTTGACGGCAAGAATTAGATCTGATGGAAAAAACAGATGCAATTCTTGTTTGCCTTCCATGAAACCCTAGAAGTGGTTACCGATGATGTTCCTACGTTAGCTGCAAATACAACCGACGAACAGAAAAAAGCCCACAATGAAGTCAAGAAAAAAGATTGCAAGGCTGCTTATTGCATTCGATGTTGCTAATTTCGACAGAATCTTTCATGCTGAAACGATGAATGAGGCATGGGATATTCTGGTGAAGTATTACGAAGGAGGTGAGAAAGTCAAAGTTGTTAAGTTACAAATCTTGCATCGACAATATGAGTTGTTGTCAATGGGAGAAGATGAAAAAGTTGCAGAATATGTTTCTAAGGTTCAAAAACTCGTCCATCTCATGAAGAGTTGTGGTGAAACCATAATTGATAAGATTATAGTTGAGAAGGTAATGAGAATATTGACTTCTCACTTTGATCACGTTATCGTAGCTATTCAAGAATCCAAAAATTGTGAAACCACTAAAGTGGAAGATTTGGTTGGTTCGTTGGAGACGCAGGAGATGAGGATTATCGAAAGGAAAGGAGTGCAAGACTCGATACAGGCTTTGCAAGCTTAGTCATGGAAAAAGGATGATGGTTCCAACAAATTCAAAGGCAAGTTCGATAAGACTCAGGGTAAGAAGTCTTGGTCGAAACCTCATAATATCAGGTCGAAGATGGAGCTTCTGAATCCTCGAAAGAAGGAGGAGGAAACTATCGAAAGGGAAAACAAGATAAAGGTGTGCAATGCTATAAATGTGAAAAATGGGGTCACATAGCCAAGAATTGTTGGTACAAAAAAGACAAGGGATAGACAAGCAAGGACGGAGGAGTGGACCTTGCACGCCAAGATTCAGATGATTCTGAAGGTGGTATGGTGGTTATGGCTGCAGTTGTAGATAACCATGTCGAATCCAAGATCTGGTTTCTCGACTCAGGCTACTCGAACCACATGATGGGTCGAAAGGAGTGGTTGGCATATTTTGACGAGTGGAAGAAGATCAAGGTAAAACTTGTTGATAATAGTTCGTTGCAAGCAAAAGGTACTGGAAACATAGTCTTTCAAATGAGTAATGGAGGGAAAGATATGATCAAAGATGTTCTCTATGTACCTAGAATGAAATGCAACTTGCTAAGTGTTGGACAACTAGTCGAAAAAGGTTTCTCAGTTGTCATGAAAGATGGAGTTTTGAAATTGTTCGACACCAAGAACAATTTGGTCTTAAAATCTCCACTGTCGAAGAATAGGACATTTAAGACTATGATCAGTTCGACATAAGTTCAATGTTTGAAAACTGTTGTCGACCACAAGGATAGTTGATTGTGGCATTTGAAGTTTGGACATTTAAACTTTTGATCACTTAATCAACTAATTACTGAAGATATGTTTACTGGTATTCCAAGCCTTGAGATTCCTGAAAAACTTTGTGAAGGTTGTTTAGTGGGAAAGCAATCCAGAAATTCTTTCGTTTCGACTATGTCAATGAGATCATCCTGCATTCTCGAAGTGGTGCATTCAGATGTATGTGCTCCATTCGAAGAACATGCAATTGGTGGAAACATATATTTTTTTGTTTGTCGATGAGTTTACTCAAAAGCTGTGGATCTATGTGATCAAACAAAAGGACGAAGTATTCGAAATCTTTAAGAGATTCAAGATACTTGTCGAAAACCAGAGCGAGAAGAAGATCAAAGTTCTGCGAACAAATGGAGGTGGTGAATACACATCCAAGATGTTTGAAGATTTTTGTGCAGAACATGGTGTTGATCATGAGGTAACTGCTCCTTATACACCTCAACATAATGGAATTGTTGAAAGAAGAAACAAAACCATATTAGATATGGCAAGATGTATGCTGAAGCAAAAGAATTTGCCAAAGTCTTTATGGGGAGAAGTTGTTTTGACTGCAGTTTATATTTTGAATAGGTGTCCTACTAAGATATTGAAGAACAAGGTTCCTGAAGAAGTGTGGAGTGGTAAATTAGTAAGTCATTTAAAGGTGTTTGGCTCTATGTGTTACAAGCATGTTCCTGATGCAAGGGGAAGGAAGCTTGATGACAAGAGTGAACCTATGATTCTGGTAGGATATCATAAAATTGGTGCATACAGACTATTCAATCCAGTTAATGAGAGTATTATGTTGAGTCAAGATATTGTGATTAATGAAAATTCTGCCTGGAATTGGAATTCTAGCAATTCAATTAACAAGACATTAATGAACTTTGATTTCAACGGAGAAACTGATGAAGTAGAGGTCGAAGGAATTATTGAGAATTCAGTTGAAGTCAAAGAAGAAGTAGTTGCTGACACTCCCGACACAGTCGAAGTCGAAGAGGTTATGGCTGAAACAAGCCAAAGACCTCAAAGAAATAAAGTTCTTCCAACAAGACTTCATGATTATGAAGTGGTGGGTGATGATGAAATCACAGCAGATGGAGAATTAGTTCATTTTGATTTACTTCAAGGTGCTGAACCAATAAACTATAGTTAAGCTTTGAAGACTAACAAGTGGAAGTTAGCTATGGTCGAAGAGTTACAAGAAATTGAAAGAAACAACACATGGAAGTTAGTCGAATTGTCAGTACATACAAAAGCTATCAAAGTAAAGTGGGTGTTCAAGTTGAAACACAATGTAGATGGGTCAATAGCAAGACATAAAGAAAGATTAGTAGCTCGAGGTTTTCTTCAAAGAGTAGGACTCGACTACTCTGAAGTATTTTCTCCAATAGCAAGATTAGAGACTGTTCGACTAGTGGTAGCATTAGCATGCAACCAAGGCTGGTTGACATTTCATCTAGATGTGAAATCAGCATTTCTGAATGGTCCTTTAGACGAAGAAGTTTATTCCACACAACCTCTTGGTTTTATGATTCAGAAGGAAGCGAGTAAAGTATATAGATTGTACAAAGCGCTCTATGGCCTCAAGCAGGCACCTAGGGCATGGAACAAGAAGATCGACTCATACTTAGTCGAATTGGGATTTGTCAAATGCAAATCACAGTATGGTGTCTATGTTCAGGTTGTAGCACAATATATAACAATCATATGCTTGTATGTTGATGACTTGCTAGTAATTGGAAATAGTTTGGAGAACTTTCCGAAGTTCAAAGAGCTGATGACGAAGGAATTTGAAATGTCAGATCTAGGAAAATTGTCTTATTTTCTAGGCATGAAATTTCAAATGTCGAAGCAAGGTATGGTGCTACATCAAAGAAAGTATGTCAAAGAGATACTCAAGAGATTCAGAATGAATGATTCGAATCCTGAATCCTCACATGTCGAACCAAATGTAAAGTTGGAAAAGAATGGGGAGGAAGACAAAGTCTATGCAACTTTGTTCAAACAAATTGTGGGATCTCTGAGGTATGTGTGCAATAGTCGACCTGATATAGGTTTTCCATTTGGATTAGTAAGCAGATATATGGGTGAACCAAGAGTGTCACATATGAAGGTTGCAAGAAGAATCCTGAGATATTTGAAGGGTTTAATAAATTATGGAATACTATTTCGACGAGATTCTAAAGGCAAAGAAGCAATAGTTAATTGTTTTTCAGATGTTGATTGGTGTAGAGATAAGGAAGATCGATTAAGCACAACTGGATATTTCTTTCAAGTATTTGGTTCCCCAATCTCATGGTGTTCGAAGAAGCAACTTGTGGTGGCATTGTCATTGTGTGAAGCTGAATATATAGCAGGATCTTATGCTGCATGTCAAGCAATTTGGATCAGATATGTACTTGAAGAAATGACTGTCAAAGTGAAGAAACCTCTAGTATTGAAAATCGACAACAAGTCAGCCATAAATATGGAAAAGAATCCAGTTATGCTTGGAAGAAATAAACATATTGAAGCAAGGTTTCACTTCTTGAGGGAAAAAGTAAATCAAGGTGAACTAGAAGTTGGGCATTGCTCAAGTGAAGCACAGTTGCCCGACATTTTCACCAAAGCATTGAAGATCGACAGATTCCTGAATTTGAGAAAGAAATTAGGAATAGTTCAGATTGACTATTTTTTAGGATGTTCGACAACTTGGATTACGGGAGTGTGTTGAAATATTAAATTAGATTTGTTAAAAATATTAGATTAGATTAGATTAGATTAGATTTAATATTTAAATATAATCCAAGTTGTGTTAGCCCAAACCCAATTAGGGTTGTACATAAATATTCATAGTGTGTATCATTATTTGTATAATTCAATAATACAAATCCTTATTAGAGAGTAAACTTGATTCTTAGTTAGCGAAAGCGATAAGTTCCTGTCAAATTGTTCCTTTACAAGAGTGGAAAATATTGTCCCATGAGTAGTTCTATTAAATACAAGTTGAAATGTTATTTGACCAATGTGATTTACATTCTAGTCTGTCTTTTGTCTGAATTTACTTTATCTATTTATTTCCTTTGCATTATACTCCCTCAACTGAATCGATCCACCTTATATAAGAAACTTAATAATAGAGTTGATAGATTAACGATTGGTCTATGTGGTTCAATAATCCTTTATATTACTTCGATAGGTTGTGCACTTACAGTTAGATTTTAGACTCTATAAACAGACCGAACAAATGTAAAGAT